TATATAAATTATTTATCATAAATTTTAAATATGATATATATATTCAAATATAATATTTTTAATATATATTTTATTATAAATTTTAATTATATTATATATAATAAACATATCGATATATTACATATGCTATAATACTAGTTACAAAAGTTTCTAAAAATATTTCATTTACACGAATATAAAGAATGATTTGTAAAATTTGTATAGATTTAAAAAATAAATTTAACCTCGAAGATTAAATAATAAGAATATAAAATGATGAAAGACTTAAGTATAATTTTTTTATAATTTAAAGACCTAATTATAAATTATGAAAAAAAATTAGGAACTAATTAATATATTAAATATTAAATAAAAAAGTAGAAGGCTTGGTATAAAAAAAAAAGAAGATGTTTTATTATTTGTATGTGTTTTATTTGCATAAAGATAATTTACTTTTCATTGTACTGAATTTTAAATAATTACTAATAATAAAATTGTCATTGTCTATATTAAATTATTATAAGATAAAATAATATATGGTCTTATTGAGATTTTTGTTGACATTAGTTTCTGTCTTTGTTATAAATCATTTTTATTCTATCAACGGACTTAAACACGATAAGTATACGGTCGTTCAAGTAGTAAATTTAAATCGTATCCACAGGGACTAGTAGGTAAAATAAGCATTTATTGACTATTTGTGACTAAAAAATAATTCTAATTTTTCATAGATTGTCATGCAATTCAAATAAAGGTTATGACTAATGGAATTTCATACCTATAATATACTTTGAGTGTGTGGAAGGGATAAAAATTGTATTATGATTTTGTAAGATTGTGTGATTAGACATCACCAAACTTCACACGGATGAATCTTTATTTTCTTGTTACATTCATTGCTTAGTCAACTCATAAGTTTACTCAAACCTAATCCCTTAGTGTAAGAGCCTAGGTGCAGGTAATGAATATCAATTCCTTGAGTATCCAATACATACACTTGCATTACGGGTTAGGGTTTAAGACTACTAATGGGCCAAGCTCCATTCCTAGATATATTTCCCACTAGGCATTTGTTTCAAAGCTAGTTTCAAAGGTTATTTTTTAATACCCAATGGACTCTATATCAAACATAACACAACAATGAATGAAACATCATATATATATATATATATATATATCATTGATAACGTGAAGATTACATAAGAGTTAAGTTGGTTATATCTAACCTCCGGTCTCAAGTACCGAGAATCCCTTCCACAGCTCCTAGAAGTCGCCCAATGTGTGAATGAGGCGGAAAAGCCTCGAAGCTTTGCCCAAATACGAATTGGTCGAGACCGGCGCATGGTCTTCCAGAGAGGTAATTACTCTCTGTCTCGAATCACGTCCGGCACGGATACTCCTGCGCCAAGCACAATGTCTTCAAGAGAGTTTTGAACGCTCTTTGTTTTCACAAGCCTGGCGCGGGTAGTCTGCGCCCGACGCAATGATGCTTCTCCTGCTCCTTAGCTCTTTCAATTTCCAATCCAATGGGTTTTCAACCTCAACTCTTTAACTCAATACCTGCACAAAAATGAGGTGTATCATGGTATTGTCAGATGATTTTTGGGTTAGCTATATCTGCACAAAAATTAATCAAAAAGAGAACAATTATATTACAAGAGTGCAAGGAGTGGGTGAAATTGTTCAATAATTTATATCTAAACATATGTATAAATGAGACTTAATAGGTCCTAAAAGTGTATGCAATTTATACTTTGAATCTTGAAAGTAAAAAAAATTTAAATAAATTTATAAAAATTATAGGATTTTATTTAAGTTCCTAAACTTAATTTATCTATTTTCATTTTAATTGCTAAACAAAACGTTAATGTTATTATTTAACTCATATTTTTATTTTTCTTTTGAATTTTAAAATAAAGTAAATAATTATATATATATATATATATATATATAAATGACTTTAAATTTGAGAAAAAAATTTACCCTAAATTTTAAAAGATTAAAATCATAATTAACCTACTTAAAATATATTATTTTATTTTAATGAGATATTTTAATTTACTTGATCTTTGGATTTGTAGAAAAAATCCAAAAAGAAAAAGTAAACCGCCTAGGCAGTTCCATGAAAGAGGCTGTTAGAGGGAAGAGAAGATTCCAAAGAAGTCATTCAATTCAACAACCCCTCTTTATTTTCTTTTCAATTAATATATTCAAATTTAATCAAATAATTAAATTAGTTGATTTCAATATAAGCCAAACTGTGGAAAACCTCAACTAAGAAGCAAACACAAGAAAGAAAAAAAAAATAAAACCCAGAAAGACTCTCAAAGAGAAGGTCGTTGCTTTCTGCTCCACTGCGACGATGAACGGAGGCCCATCTGGTTTCAGTGCGTCAATTATCTTTTCCGAGTCGAATAATCATCTGGGGTGTTCATTTTTCACACCCCCTTTATCTTTATTGTGACAAAGTTTTCCCCTTTTTGAATGGTGTTTATGATATTCAAACGCTTTGTTATGTGTGTTCGCAGCAAATGCTCCTGTCACGAGGGCTTTCATCATCGCCTCGGCGCTTTTCACAATCTTTTTTGGGATCCAAGGCCGTTACAACACTCTGGGACTGTCATATCAGGTGTCCCTCTTATTTTCCTTTTAACTGTTCGTTCTTTTTTATTTTATGTAATAATCTGTAATTAGTCCCAATGTGTCAATGTGTAACTGAGTTTTGCGTGCGATGTTTATATGTATTAGGAGTTAAGAGAGAATTGGGTAGGTCATTTGAGTTTGAGATTTTGATTTTGATCTTAAATTAATTTGAAGGCCTTTTTTTTCAGATAATGATTTGGATATATTTAGAATTTTCTGGCATGATATGTCAGTTTGTGATGATAATGGTATTTGGGATTGATCCACAGGGTAAAATCACCACTGATTTAAAATTGAGTTTAAGATTCATTTAGTTATCTCTCTTGGAATTGTAGCTAGGGATAATGGTATTAATGAACAAATCTGGCGGGTGTTATTTATTTGCCATCTAGAGTGTTTAAACACCAGAAGCACTGGGACTGTGTTAACTCTTGCACAGACCTGAACTTATTGTGCATTAACTATGTTTTCTTAGTCCGTTTTCTTCTCTTTCTGGCAGGATGTTTTTGGAAAGTTTCGCATTTGGAAGTGGATCATGTCCATATTTTCCTTCTCATCAACACCAGAGTTGATGTTTGGACTGTATCTGCTATATTATTTCAGGGTCTTTGAGAGACAGATAGGTTCCAATAAATACTCGGTAAGTAATTTTTATTTTGAAAGTTTACATTTAGGAGTTTATGTGCCATCTGTACATATATTTTTGGAACTCAGTTCTGGTTAATAATAAAAAAAGGTATGTAATTCATTATGTTGGATTGATTTGTACCATGGTCTAATACAATTGCCAAACAAAGTTGATGTTTTCATTACCTTTTCCATTGTCCCCTGTTCAAAATAGCCCCTATCCATCATCAAATTTGCCTTGATGCATTGTCAATGATATTATGTTTATTTTTTGAAATACCATATCTACCTCCATAGGTTCTCCATCTGCATGACAACCTTATAAATGCACTTGCACACAGTGGGTGGGGGGAGGGGAGTTTTTCTGTTGTATATGGTTTCAAATATCTGTGTGCTCCCTTTATGCAGGTCTTTATCGTGTTTTCCATATTAACTTCACTGCTGCTTGAAGTCCTTGCTGTAGCACTTTTAAAAGGTAATATTCTCAATATTGGTCTTCGTATGCCTCTCTTTCACCACTTTAACTTTGATTAATCACTGTATATGATTTTTCTTGTGATACATTTTGCTTAATCTTTTTGGTTGTGCATGCCAAGTCTTTTCATGTACTGAATTTTCCTTCTGGACTGTTTTTGTCTCATCTTTTGGCCTTTTCTTGGCATTTTGTAACCATTTTCTAATACTGATTTAGTGAAGAACATATAAGGCAGGATACTTGGTTGACTGATTATGAGGAACTTCCCTTCATATAAAATGTTAATGCTGATATTACTGTGTACTTCCTTAGTTTAAACCACTTTGGTGCTTTAATTTCTCAGTACCAATAACAAAATGTCTCAATGCTATTTAGTCAAGAGCTAAGCAAACTGCTTGAAGTGAATATTATGGAGTGATAGAGCTTCTCTGTTTGAGTTTGACCATAAAGAAGTTGAATTTTGCATCTGAAGTTTTATCCCACAACATGTTAAAAATTTCAAGTTATTATTATAATATTCAAAACCATTTGATTTCTTTTTATTTAAAGGATCAAGAGTCATTGTTTGTGTTAGTAAGTGAATTGAATGAATTTCCCTGTAATAATAATATATGGAATTATTTTTGGCATTAGGTAGGTAAATTATTTGACTAGCAGAATTGTGCTTTAATCATGTGATTATTTTACATTAGAATGCCTACCGGCTACCAGCAACTTGTTCTGTTCTAATGAGTAAATGGGTTTGAAGTTTACTGATGCCATTGTTTTTCTTCTTGTAATTAGTATCTTAAATGTGTTTTCTATGCTTCAGCTCTGTAAGTTTATGTTTTTTCTAATGTTTGAAAAAGGTCTAATGACACAGATTCATATTAATGAATGAGTGACATAAGGAAGTTAGTTTCTTTAGTCATTTCATTAAATCTAATTCTAGTGGTCAAAAAGATGGTTTATGACTTTATGTCATTTAAGATGATGAGATGATCTGACAGAAGAATAGTGACTTGTTTTGTTATGAAATAAGTCCCAAGTATACCAGGACATTTTAGGTGTCTGTATACTGCTATGCTTGATGTTAATGGTGTTACAAGGAAAGGTTGAATGGGAAAATAGCCAAGTACAAGAGTCAAAACTCTCTGTAAAATTTAAGGTTTGATTTTAATTACCAAATTTTTAAGGAGTGTATGTGTTCCAAGTTATGATTTTGTTTTCCTTTAAACCTTCTCACCAGGAAAAATAAGCTAAGTAGCATGTTACTGAAAAAGGTAGTTGTATAAGATTACTCTAAGCATTTTTGCATCTGATTTTAACAGCATAACAAGAGTTATTCATCTGTGTATACTTCGTTGAGCGGAAATTGAATGCATCTCAAGTGTTTGTGATGCTAGTGATTAAAGTTCTTCCTTAACGAATTCTATGTTTCTATTGGGAACAAAAGGGTAAGCTAGTGACTAGTGGTTTCGATGAGCCAATCAATCGCAAGAACTCAGCCAGTTGGCTTGGTCTTTTATAAGTAGAGATAGAATAAAGCATCCATAACAAAGACACTTGTACTCTCACAAGCTACTCATAGGCATTTGGTGTTGACCTTGTAAACATTGAGCTTGACTCATTTATAATTGAGTTAATAATCAAGCTTGTTAGTTTTGTTAAATAAATGAGTTAATAATCTAGACAGAGGCTTTGTGATAACAACTCATGTTCCTACAGAACTTCAGATAGCAGATTTTTTACAAAAGGGCTCCCTCAGGGTAGATTTCAAGATCTTGTAGGCAAGTTGGGAATGATTGATATTCATTTACCAACTTGAGGGGGAGTGTTGTAATTAGAGGAAAATCTTCCTAATTAGAGAAAATATCTGTAGAATTTTCTAGTTTATTTTTCAGAATATTTTTTCCATATTTCCTTATTTTGGAAGATTAGATTGTTATAAATAGGTGTTAGGAAAATGTAATACAAAAAAATTATTGATAATAATAAAAATTATTCTCCTTTTCAAGTTTAAGCATTAAACAAGTTGAGTTTGAATAATTCACAAATAGCTTTTTTCACTGTAATCTTACTTGTAGGCATGTTGAAAGATATAGGAATGTCTTGCTCTTGCCTCAATTTTTATAGTGGTGAATGGCGCTGGCGCATACATATTATGTGAGAATTTGATAGGGCAGTTTACAGTGTGCAACTTGTGGAGACTGATTCTCTAATTTGATATAGCAATTAACTGTTTAAGATGTTATTGTCTGGTTGAACCACTAGGGTCGGCCTATTGATGAGAGGGTTGGAGTAGTATGCACAAAGTCTTAGGTTCGAATCCTAGTGTAGTTAATGTAATTCCAATGGAAAAATAAAAGATGCTATTATCTGGTTAATTATGTGGCTTTTTGCACTTTGGTGCTCAAAGTACTGACATTTCCTTTTTAGTAACTTGTGTTTGTTCTTAGTTTGACTGTTTTATGTCCACTCTTTGCAGATCCTACAGCAAACCTTGTCACTCCTGGGCCTTATGGCCTTATATTTGCTTCATTTGTACCCTTTTTCTTTGACATTCCGGTTTCAACACGATTTCGAGTTTTTAGTTTCCTCTTCTCAGACAAGTCGTTCATATATCTAGCTGGTCTTCAGGTATTGTTGAACTGAATTATGGGTGTTTATATAACATGCATTTCTAGAATCATTCCATGTCTGAAAACTAATTTATATTATTGTAGCTTCTTTTGTCATCATGGAAAAGATCCATCTTACCAGGGTTGTGTGGCATCCTTGCTGGTTCCTTGTACCGCTTAAATGTCTTTTACATCCGCAAAGCAAAGGTACATTTAAGTCTGAAATTTGAGTTTTTTGTTATTTTGGATTTTAGCAATTACGTGGCAGTGCATTCAGATGGCCTATAATATGTTTACCTTTAATTATGTATGCAAGCTTTCTCTAAGGAAAAATATATTGCATCAAGTTTCTTTTGATATTGTTAATTGAAATCAATCTTACTTGAATTAATAACATTTTATGGGATGAATATTTCATTATTTTCTCTGTTGGATTGGAAAGTTTCATCGTTCACATCATGTTTTGAAAACTTCATATTAATTGAAGACTACTTTGTATTCCATTCAATCACTGTTATTTGATAACAAAAGTTATACTTTCAAGCAAAAGTTTATACCAACTATTTGATCCCACAAGGTTATTTAAATTTTTAAAAAAAAGTGCTGAGCGGTATCAAAATATCTAATACTTATAAATAAATGATTAGATTAATTTAGTTGCTTTCTATACAAAGTTATATGCATATATTCGTACACACCAGATGCATGTGGCTGTATGTTTCTGAAATTGGCAGAAAATATTGATATATAAGTATTATTGGTGCTTAGTTTTATTTAAGAACCTTCTATATTGAGTGTTATATATACATGTATGTACATACATACATAATTATTATAGTTCAAGATTTTTAAAATTTGGCATGAAAAGTCAACATATTAAGTCAAAGTTTAGCTTGAAAAGTCAACATATTAATACATACATATAATAACATCTAAATCACTCTCCATGTTATGCATGTTTTAAACTTTGCTTCTTAGAGGTGCAATCAAATTTAAAATCTTTCTACTATTGTCTATTAGACTGAGTGTGGTTTGTGGTAAGCAAAAGTGTTTTTTCATAGCAGTTATCGGTAGCATACTGTGCACTTTTAGCGTCCATTGACTACCACAGAACTTCAATAGTGGTGTGTTTTTCATTTGTGGGTGACTGGGTGTCCATGGGTATTTTCATTCACATCCCAAAATACAGCATTTTGCATTGCTTCTTTAGAAAGACTGGCTTGAGAACCCAATTTCTTCCTCAACCATGTCATTTTGAGAGAGGGGAGAGGGGGTTCAACAAACTTCACCTTTTCCCCCTTTTTTCATAAAGGAAAAAAGCTCAATCCTCCTTTATTTTTCTCATGATTCTCTCCCGTTATGTGGTTCTGCCTCTGCTGGGCGACCAGAATGGCCAAGCCACCCTTCTGTGTTTTTTTGGTGACACCCCACTGTGGTCTTGTTTTGTTTTGTTATCACTCCCTGTGACAGGCCTCTTCTTAGTTCTCTCATCACTCGTGTCTTCTGGTGACTTTTCCGGCTTTGATATGGGGTTTCTGGTCAACCCCATGACAGTGTTCTGTTCTTCCCCTGTAAGCAAATTTTATGATGACATGTAACTTCATTAAGTTCATCATTCAAGAAAATTACACTATAAGGATCTTAGATCAACATATTTTTCAATAGTCACTACTATCATACTCTGTAAATTCTATGAGAAATTTTAGAAGACATATCTGGATCCATAATGCAATTTAGAATTTTTAATAAGTTGTTCTCCCTTCTTACTTTCTTTACTTGGTCTCTAAGATAGTGTTGAAATCTCTTTAATTGATTCTTGACAATTTTCTAAGTTTTCACAATTTCCTCTTATGAAAACAAGTTTCTAAATATACGTAAAATCCAAAAAATATCTTGAGAGAGAAAAAGAGGTTATGCTTTTATAAATAACCAACTTTAACTCCCATAACCTCCTTTTTTAAATTCAAAATCTTTAATGCCAAAAATTATCCTTAATGAAGTGAGAAGGGAGATAATTAATTTTAATAACTTAAAAATAATCCCCAAATGACTCTTAATATATTTTAAGTCTAACAACCATCACATTAGACATCTTTTCATTAGAAGTCATTTTCTAATTACACGAGTCATTATTAGATTAAATAATCTAACATCTCCATGTCAGTTCTGTGTTCTCATTGATTATTAATTACCCATGGAAGAATGACATTCCGTGCTTACATTTATATTTATTAGCTAAACTAGTATTTTAGCATGTGCAATGCACGTACTAAATATTTATTATATGTAACTAAAATTTATAATAAATTATATATAAATAAGTATTATGTTTGAATATATAAATCACATTTAAAATTTCTAAAAATAGATATTTTTAAACATATAAATTGTATTTTAAATTTTTGATAAATAGTTTATATTGTAGCACAATGTTATTCTATTTATTAATAATTTATTTTAAAAATATTAAAATTTAATTCATAAATAATTATGATAAATAAAAGTCGAATTACATAAGAAGTAAAAAAAATTCCTAAAATCCCTCTTGTCGAAGAAAAATCCCTTAAAAATACTCTTGTGCAAGATAAAAGTTCGTATTTAATACGGTTTTATATATAGACGAATGGGAAGTTAAAAGATAGAATAAAAAATGAATTCAAAATGAGAAAAATAAAGTTATAATATGCAGTTAAATGGTACAATAAGTAAAAGAAAATTGGGTTTTGGCTCTATTATTGTTATATATGAGCATGTCTTTAATTTTGGGTACTTTTTTTTAGCATTTATATGTGGTTTGCATAACAAAATTTTAAAATAGCGGTAATCCTGCAATTCATCATCCAACTAGTGTTTTTAGGGCTGGCTGGTATTCGTCATTATCCAGGACTGATGATTATGGTTCTAATAAGGGAGTCGGTTTATCTTGGAATGTGTGTTTTTGCTTTGAAAATGTGAAGTTCATTCACTAAGTAAACCAAACAGAGTTTAATAGTGTGTTTGGATGGAGGATTTTAATGGAGCAATCCAATTTTTTTTGAAGAATTTCAAATGTTTCAATGTAAAATACTCTGTTTGGATGAAGAATTTACAAAGAATTTGAAATTTAAGTATTTGTGAAATTCCATAAAGATGTAGAATTTGAAATTCTTCTTCTGTTTTCTCCTACCTCCATCTCCTTTCTTTCAATAGTTTTTTTTTAATTATTGAATAGTCAAATTTATTTTTTAAATCATTAAGTTTTATCCTATAATAATTTTTAAAATTATTAGTTTTATAGAATTAATATTTATAAAAATTGGCTAATATTTAGTTTTATAAAATTTAATCTTAAGACTTTATTTTTATCTTGAATGGAAATTAAATTGTTCTTTTCAATTCAAACTAAGAATTTGAATTGACTTGTCCAAACAAAGTATTTAAGAGATGATGAAAATTGAAATTAAAGTAATTCAAGTTCTAATAATTTCAAATTTTTTGAATTTCTAAAATTCTTCATCCAAACACACCTTAAGTTTCTTTTGCTTATGAGTGGCATTTAGTGGCTGTCTTTATTAAGATTTTTTTATGATAGAACAGTGGAACTTTTTTTTCTTGCCATAACACAACTTTACAAATCCATCTTGAATCTTCATGGTAATTATATAGAACTTGTAGATTAGATGCTGCATGCACTTGTATCTGTAAACCAAATGGTAGTTGGTGATCTTGTTCTTGTTTGAGAAGAATGGTGATAATAAGTTAAGATTTTGTTTAACTATTAATATGACTCCACCATGTGGTTCCTGCGAGCAGGGCATTGTCTAGGTATATAGATATTGTCTGGTCCCTCCAGGTACATGCAATTCTGCTGTATGATGGTATTCAAATTGTCTTGCTACTCCATTATATTGCTTTCATTCATCAATTATTATGAAGTGAACTACCACGGAAACTATTTTTAATGTATTGGTTTTTCTATTTTTTCCACTTTTACTTTTTTCCCCTATAATTTAAATGCAGTATATATTATTATTCCTCAAGTGATTATTGGGGAGTTGTTATTTGTTTGTGCTTATGTGATCCTACACTACAGTTCCCAGAGTTGATCTCGTCATTCTTTTCACGATTTTCATTGCCATCTATGGGGAGTCCACGTGCAGCACCAGCAAGGAATGTTGTCAGGAATGTACCTTCCTATCCAACTCACCAAATGGAGGCAAGTTTTTCTTTATGCCTACAACTCTTTTATGGTGTGATCTGCATAACTTCGACGGCTATGCATTTATGATTTTGATGACCTATCAGCTTTCTATGCAGCCATGATAATTAAAGCCTTGACGTGTATGTAATAATCTCAAATGACGCTGATTCTACTTTGAACACACATATTAATATTCATATGCATAATTGCATATTAGCTTGCAGCTGCTGTCAAATCATTTGCAGCTGTTCATCCAGTATCTTTAAATGTAAACTGAACTTGTTACGTCTGTTAGGTCTGGATATGAGTCAAGCTGCTCGCTAGAGTCTAGATACTCACGGCTTGATTCATTAACATCTCAACAGCAAGGCTCATGCGATGAATTATGCTCGAGGGTTCTTATGTTTGGCTCAGCTTGTGTGTTTTTATGTTACTTTTTTTATTATTATATACTTTTTTCAATTAAAATAGATAAAATTAAATAAATTAAGTTGATTATAGAATTTAAGTATTGGCATATCAAATTCATAGTGAGGTGAGGTTAGCTTGAGCCGAAAAACCGGACTAACTTTCTTAACAAGCTGAGCTTAGCTTTGAAATATAAATAATGAAACAAGTTGGTTTAAAGCCAAGACTTAGCTGCAAAATTTGTCATGCAATTTGTAGTGATTTATGGCTTTACATTCATTGTGTCAACATCCATAGGATTATTATATAAGGATTATGTACTTTTTGACAATTATTTTCATCTGTTAACTGCAGAGAAACTACCCTGCTCCAATGCAATCTGCAGTAGAACCATCAGAGGACTCAATCACTACCCTCGTTTCTATGGGCTTTGACAGGAATTCTGCCAGACAAGCCCTGGTGCAGGCCAGAAATGATGTCAATGTGGCCACCAACATCCTACTGGAGGCACAGTCTCACTAATTCCATAAATGTTCTGCGAACACGAGAGCCAGATTGTTCTGAATTGATATAGATGGAATCCCAATCATGAAGGATTGGAAATTCACTAATCATGATGTGAGGATGTTTGTGAACTTGAGGCATTCCTAGTACCATCCTCAAGGATATTCCTCCTTTCTTAGGATCATTTTTCCCACCTTAACTTTAATCTTTAGATATCCATTTTGAGTACTGGCATTGATAGACGAATGAGTTAGGATCCTGTACAAATTACTTGCAACATATGGAAATTATGCATATTTTCATGAAATGTGAATCAGATAACTGTAGTTGAAGGTTCTTCTATGCAGTTTGCTTGAAGCTCATGGAGCTCAGTTTCATGCTGATCTGTGAAAGCTGTTGAGAATGTCACTCTGATGAGGTCTTCTTATTGTCTATAATGAAATTTCTTGTAAACCACCTAATCCAATGAAATCTGAAAAAGAAAATCATAGTGCAAATTGTGGAGGTCTTAGCCTCCAAACTTACCATTTGTTGAGGTTAATTTGGTGCCTCAGAAAATTAGATGAAAAATTAGGCTTTAAGGTGGAAATTTTTGACCTCCCATATTAATTTTGGCTTTGAGGTAATTTCCTTTGATCATGCTGGCTCTCATGAGCAATTTATATTCACCGGATGTTATTAATGAACCATTGCACACTATTTAATTCTGTTTCAAATGGGTCAATCCACAGTAGAGGAAGAGGTAGAGCTACTCCTAGATTTTTTAAATGTACATAAGGTATCATACAGCCAATAGTATCTATTCTGAGGAGCAAAAATCACTTAAATAGGTATAATATATTCTAGCAAAACATATGTTGTACATGTTTAGAAAATAAACATTAATTAACATTATTGGTTCCCACGTGAATATTTGTAAAATTGATTTTGGTTAAAATTAAGCAGTTAGAAATAAAATTTAGTATACATATATTTTTTAATTCGCAAAAGTTATTGAAAGTTGCTTTAACTCAGTTTTGATTCCATAATCAATTCTTTAATGTGAATTTTTAAGTATTTACCTTAAATAATCTTAACCAGTGTTTCAACGTGATTTTAAATAATCTAACGTAAATTCACACTTGCCTTTGCATTTCCAATGCACAATTCTTGTTCTCAAATCAAATGCGACAAAAGTGTAGCTTGTGGTGGATCATGTCCGAGTGTAACAAACGTGTTATCGAACACAGTTAAAAAAAAGCCAGCTACCTACAAAAATTGATAGTGTAAAAAGAACTACCAAGTATATTAAAATATATTTTACAGCATAACCTAAAGTCAAATTTGAGATAATATTATCATATGGTATTTTTAACATGAACCTATGACGTTCATAATCATGCTGTGCATTGTATTATATTTTTGCATGAAGCTTTTAGTATATAATGGTGCAATATACGCACAAGAAATTCGGAGGATACACGCCAGAACACGCTGTTTGGTTTAATTTCTTAATTGCTGTTTAAAACTATTTTGATTTCAGCAAGTACTTTCTGCAAATCTTGCGGAGAGAGACCTGATAACGTCTGATGACACGTTTAACAATTAATTGTGACCTAACTTAGATCAGCTACCAAATTCTGATCCAATTGCCTGATGGGAATTGACCAAAAAAAATGAACGCAAGTGAAGAGGCATGAGAATGATGGACAAGAAACAGGATTCATCCATTAGATAACCTTTGTGACTATTTCTACTAGTACCCAATTTCTTTACGCCGAAGAAAAAAATAAGCATATTGAGTATACAAAGAAAAACAGGCACAAATACAATGGTGAACACTCATTTTTCTTTCGCAGAAAAAAATAATCATGCTTGCTTACGGTAAAATCATACGGGGAACAAGCCCTAATACTGGAAACCCAACTCAAGCCTTGTCATGTACTAGAAATGTAATCCTTAATCTCCAATCATAGCTCCAAAGAGTGATTCTGGAAGAAGCACAAAAGTGTAAAACTACAATCCTCCCTTCCATATATAACCGCATTGGTTCAGCCTGGAAAACTTGAGCATGTCCAAAGAACAAAACTTCAATCCTTCCTTCCATAACTTCATTAGCAATGGACCAGCCTGGAAAACTTGAGCAGAACACACAAGTCCAAGAACAACGACAAAAATATAGGTGGCATTCCTTATTGCGGGATGAGGATATGCATAAAGTGGCGAAGGGGGTTATATTGGGCTTATGTCTATCCGGCTTTTGTGGAGTTGAAAGGCTGGGGTTATCCAGCTTCCGCAGCTGCATTGTATGCCCGCCCAAGTGAAGTATCCCAAACGGGCATCGCAATGAGCACAGGACAGCTTTCCTTCCAATGCACCTTCCTCAACTGAGTGACAAGAGATATAAGTAAAAAAACTGTCATTTCCATGGATATATATTATGTAACCAAACAACCTTACAAGTGTGTGTACATAACATTCTACTCAAATGTACTACCCACATTCCAAATCATGTGTCACTTTAGGAATCCTGGTTTGTCAAAGAATTATTTTGTCATAATAATTGATGCAATTGATATTTTTCATAAAATGTGTATATTACTTCAAACAGATAGTTTGAAATGTAGGGAGCAGTAAAGAAAAACAATTCAGTAAATGTCCCAACAGAGGCAAAAAAAAAGTGGTAACACACTTCAAAATATTATAGAAGATCATTCTTGATCTCTTATACAAAATTATGGGAACATTCTGTACAAAAAATGCAGCATAAATTTATAACTCGTTGGAAAAATAGACATTGTAGTATTGCAGTAGAATGTTTCCTTACCAGCTTTCATCCATTTTAGAGGCTCAATAAATATGGATGAACACTCAGATTCGTTAGATTTATTGAAAGGGTTGCCACTTCTCCGTTTGTGCCACTCAAAGGCTGTCTCACCCTCACCAGGAACATGATCTATGACATGTTCTTGCAATGCAACAAGTCGCCGGCACTTCTTACAACGATACGTAGGACTACGGTTATTTACTGTTTTAGTAGTTTCTTCTGCCTCTGAAGAAATTTCGACAGGCATGCCAGGATCAGCACCAAGTTTAGAACTGTCTATCCTCAACCCTGAGAAATGATTCTCACCTGAAGAAATAAGAGACATTTCTTTCCTCAGATGACAAATGATCTCATTTTCAATGCTCAAAATAGACGGATAGATTGATATGCTCACAAAATAAGCATAAAGCATAATACCATAACAGCAACTAGTAGGAACAAGTTAACTTAAAACAACTAACTAGGTAAGAAGCTTGATATATGTAAAATACAAAAGGGTTAAGAAACCTATTGCCATAAATTAGGTCTTAAAAGATGAGTCTTTTTATCATAATTTTTTCCTATAACCTTCCTGCCATAGCACCATGAAACTTGCAAGAAAGATACGAAGCATCACAAATCCACAAAAAGTCAGGGGGATGAAGCCATACCTAGTATTTTTAGGCGAAAGCGCTTGTATATAGGGCTGAAGTGATCAACCTTGAAACCCATCGCCTCAAACATTTTCAACTAAGACAGGAGAGAAAACAAGAATGTCATAATTCTGATTCGTAAGCACCTCAAGTTAAAAAAAGATATATGCATCACTATACAAAGAGGCCTCACATAGCACACACCTGCTCTAGAAATCCATCATTGGGACAAACAAATTCACAGCTCTGCCTCAACGATTCAAGGGCATCTGTAGTACAGAAAAAATACATAAAATAAAAATAAAATAAAAAAAGGGAACAGCAAATAAGTTCTCTACACGGATCATTCAATTCACTTCGCTTTTAAAAATAAAACAAACGATACACAGGCCATTTTGAAGAAGATACTCAATTGCTCATATTAACATTTAACATTGCTACTGAATCGACGATGATAACAATGTTAATATGCTATCTAAAAGGCATTATTGAAACTATCTGGTAGTATATCTTAGTTTGCTAAAGTAAAACTACTGTGGAAGTATTTGAAAGATATTATATGAAATTTATTTCGCCTAATAAAAAGAACTTTATAATGTTTCTAAAATCTCTTTTTCATATTTTTTTTTCCAGATAACCATGTTAAGTAAGTATCCACCGACAAAGTCAATTACTAATTTCCGTTATATAATCTGATTGACTACCTTTAGTAAGTCATTTCTTCTTAACCATATTTTTTACCATTCTTAACCATGTGTTTTTACCATACTTAAACTCAAGACTTTGTTTAAAAAATCGATTTAAGTTTAGTTCCAACTTCCAATCATACCAACAACTTACTAGATTTTTTTGGATTATTGTAATAAGCCTCGTAGAAAAGCTTATCAAAATAAGCCCTTTTTATCAAGCTTATTTCACTCAGCTTCAAGGCAAAGCCCATGAATAATTTCTCACTTCACTTGACAAGCTTTTATTGAATAATAAAGTGTTGAGGTGTTTATCCAATCACACTTCCAATGCACAGTCATATAATACTTTAAACAAAGTAACGGTTTAATTTTCACACCTTCTACAGATAGACGTTCCGTCCTCATCAAGTACGCCGTAATAACCGCCGCACTGCAACAAACACATGCAAAACTCTCAACCTTCATGAAAAACAATTAAACGCAATTTAATTTGGAGCGATGAGATTAGGTTAAAATGGTTAGAACCTTCTGGAAACTCCGGCGAAACAGTGAACCAGAACGGAACCTTCCTTCCGACCGCGATCAATGAAGTCGATGCAAACCTCCAAGTAATCGAGCAAGTCCTCGTTCTCGGTGTCTTTGAGAGGGACGGCCATCCTCACGAGCTTCAGGTCGCGGCCGGCGTACTCGAGAGAGTAGAGGAGCTTCTCCGGCGAGAGAGCCGATTTGGCGGCGGCGGAGTCGGCGACGTGAACTTTGGTGATGTCCTTGGCGGGGATGGAGAGGCCGGGGCGCCATTCGGAGAAGAAGGAGATGGAGGCGGAGCTGAGGACGGAGAGGATGTGCGTGACGCTTTGGACGGTGCCGTTTTGGAGAATCTCCGCCGCGTCACCGATGTTGCCGATCGAGAGGTTCTCTCGGACCGGGTAAGGCATCACAGGAAAATTCAAATTCAAATTCAAATTCAAATTCAAATTCAATTGAAATTCGATTGGGTTCGGAGATTGGACTGTGAGTGTGTGATGATGAAAACCCAAAGAGAAATCGGAAATTAGGGAATGAATGGAAGGGTTGAGTTTCGAATAAATAAATACTCAGTTAGTCACTGCGTGTTGGGGTTGGGGCCCGCATGTCTTTGTTAGCGCATGAAATATAAAATTAGATAAATATTTATTTTATATAATTAAAATTATCTTCATATAAATTAATATATGTGCATTAGTTAACTTTAGGTTTTTCAAAAGGTTTAGAACTTAGAAAGTAACACAAAAATGTTATACGAGTGAACTTGATATTTGAAATTTATTGTTATATTCCTCTCTGAATTAAAGGGAAATAAAACAAAATAGAAATTGATAATTAGATTAGTTTAATTTCATATATATATTTAGAGAACAAAATAATAGTAAAGAATTATTTATTTATGAGAAATCCTTTGATATTTTTAAGTTTTAGATTAAGGTTAATTTTATTTATCCTTGAATATGATGTAGTGGGGAAGGGTGGATTGGTTGGCAACGCAATCTCCCCTCATTTGCAACACAAGTCACAACATCCTTCCTCATTTATTACGGCATTCAATCATAGAGTTCTATCTCATTGTGCTTCATAGGTTAGTCATGTGTCTACTAGACTTTAGCTCCACTTATTCTATTTAGAACATTCAAATTACTAAGATAAAAATATATTAATTCATTATCATTTGATTTTGAGCTATCAGATGATTCATGTTCACGTTCTCTAACACCCAATCATGATGCTTGGAATTCACTAATAATTCCAACCAAAGACCAAGAGACAGACATATCACATATATATGTGGAGAATTTTGAGTGAAAGGTGGTCATTTTCACTTGCACTAATGTATATATAAGAAAAAAGAGCAAGGGTCATGGAGCCATTTGTTTCCACTTTGGGGTAGCAATGCGCAAGAGAGTGGACGGTGATGTTGATGATCAAATGTCAGCTTCTATGACAGTTCATATATATATATGAGGAGACTCAACCTATCATTTATCAAAAGTAAAAAAGAAAAGATTATGTTGTATCGATCTCCCATTGCATGACACGCGGTGTGTGTGTAGGGCCCGATAGTCCACATGTTCCTCCACCATAGTATGATATTGTCCGCTTTGGGCCCAAGCCCGCACGGTTTTGTTTTTGGGCTCCTTCCCAAAAGGCCTCATACTATGTGGAATGGTGGACACTTATAAACTAGCCAATGTTCCTTCATTTTACCGATGTGGGACTTGGGATGAATCCCAACAAACCTCCCCTCAGACCAAGGACCACATGTCTCGTGATCTCCTCCCCTCAAGCGATAATCCGTCACCATCTTGTACCGCCGTTAACTCTACGGGACACGCCGCCTGAACACCACAATATCAGGAAGACTTTCGACACAAGGCACCAAGTTCGAATCTCCATCGCGAGGCACAACACTGAGGGTCTTCCCACATCAAACCCAGATGAACCGTTGGCTCTGATACCACTTGTAGGGCCCGATAGTCCACCTGTTCCTCCACCATAGTATGTTATTGTCCGCTTTGGGCCCAAGCCCGCACGGTTTTGTTTTTGGGCTCCTTCCCAAAAGGCCTCATACTATGTGGAATGGTGGACACTTATAAACTAGCCAATGTTCCTTCATTTTACCGATGTGGGACTTGGGATGAATCCCAACAGTGTGGAGCCAAATTGCATTGAACAGAGATGTTGGATGCAAAGAAAATGTCAAGATACATGGCATGGTATATGAAATAATATGCGTGATTATTGTTCACCCATCTTTTCTCCAAAACTCATGTTATTTATCCACTCATCATGCATGGAGAAACTATTCAGCCCCTCACCAACGCCACCTTCCCCTTTTAAGACTCCTCTACGTAGAATTCTCACTGTCCAAGAGCCATTACTGATTTTTTTAGGTGTAATCAAATTAATCCAAAAAATTTATATCAAATTAAAGTGATAAATATAAACTCAGGTGCATGATGTAGAAGAATCCAGCCACCAAAACAAGACAAAAGATCTTTCTATTTTGTCTGTAATCCATCCGTGGTCTTCATTGTCGCTAGTGTTGACAACCTTGTCATCAAGGCTGGGTGAGTGCAAGGTCTCCTGGATGATGGTCCGATGTTGTCTAGGGCGTTTGGTACTGGCGAGCTTTGATAGGAGGTCGGCTCTGGTGTTCTGTTCTCGCGGTACATGTTGTATAGTGAACTCGTCGAAGGACGAGATCTGTTGTGATGCCATGTGAAAATACTGCTGGAGGAGGACGTCCTTGGCTTGGTATGTTCCGCTAAGCTGCTCTACCATGAGTTTCGAGTCGCTGTTGCAACTCACTCTCCGAGTTCCGAGATCATGAGCCAACCTTAGCCCTACGAGAAGTGCCTCATACTCCGCCTGGTTATTGGTCACCTTGAAGCTAAACTTTAGAGATTGCTCCAGAGTGACTTGGTTCGGTCCTTCCAAGATGATACCTGCACCACCACCTTTAGAGTTGGAGGACCCGTCAACGTGTAAAGTCCATACCTGTGGTTCCTCGGCTGAGGTAGGCGTGAGCTTGGCTACGAAGTTAGCCAGGCATTGGGCTTTCAGGGCGCCACGACTTTTGTACTGGATTCTGAACTCGGACAATTCTACCGACCAGGCTATCATCCGTCCGGCGAGCTCCGGCTTTCTCAGGATCTGCTTGATTGGGTAGTCAGTCTTAACGACTACTTGGTGGCTTTGGAAGTAAGGTCGGAGGCGCCGAGCTGCGGTGACAAGTGCCAGTGCCAGCTTCTCGATCATCTGGTACCGCTTCTCCGTGTCTTGGAGGACCCGGCTGATGAAGTAGATCGGCGTCTACACTTTTTGGTGCTCTTGTACTATAACTGCACTGATGGCGTTTTTTGCTACGGCCAAGTAGAGGAGGAGGTCAGTTTTGTGATCTGGCCTCTACAGGATTGGCGGGGTCGTGAGAAAGGTTTTGAAGCTTTTGAAAGCCTCCTCGCATTGGTCCGTCCATTCGAAGTTCTTCGGCTTCCGCAACAGGGTGAAGATGGGCCCTGCCTTGTCCGCCAACCTGGGGATAAAACGGGAAAGGAAGACTAGCCTTCCTGCTAGGCGCTGGACTTCTTTCACGGTCTGGGGACTCTGCATCTGAATGATGGCTTTGCACTTTTCCGGGTTGGCCTCGACCCCCTACTAGTGATCATTAAACCAAGGAACTTACCTCCCTCGACACCGAAGACGCACTTCTCTGGATTGAGACGCATGTTGTGTCTCCTGATCTGGCCGAACACCTCGGCGAGATCGGCAGCATGGTCCGCGGCCGAGGTGGTTTTGACCACCATGTCGTCAACATATACTTCCATGTTACGCTCGATCTACTGGTGGAAAACTTTGTCCATCAGTCATTGGTAAGTGGCTCCTGCGTTCTTGAGACCGAAAGGCATCACTCGGTAGCAGTAATTGGCATGATCGGTGATGAAAGATGTATGCACCTCGTTAGGTGGGTACATCATTATCTGGTTGTACCCAGAGTAGGTGTCGAGGAAACTGAGGAGGGCGTGCCCGGACGCTCCGTCGACCAGCCTATCAATGCTTGGCAAGGGATATGAGTCCTTGGGGCATGCTCTGTTCAAGTCGGTATAGTCGACGCACATCCGCCACTTTCCTGAGTTCTTTTTTACTAGCACCACGTTTGCCAGCCATGTGGTGTACTTGACCTCACGGATGAAGCCAGCGTTCAACAATTTTTGTGTCTCGGTGATGATGGCTTCCCGCCTTTCACCCCCGACCTTCCGCTTCCTCTGAGCCACAGGTTTCGCTTCCTTGTGAATTGCTAACCTGTGACAGATGAAGTTAGTGTCTATACCTGGCATGTCGGCACTAGACCACGCAAAGAGGTCGGTGTTTTTGGAAATTTCGGCCTCGATCTATTGTCGTAACTCTGGGCTCAACTGCCTGCTGATCTTTGTGCATTGCCCCAGGAGTTTTTCGATCTGGAGGTCATCGAGCTCGTCGATGGGACTTGGTCGATCATCATGGGAATCGGACCTCGGGTCGAGGTCAGTGATCTCCACGTGGTTGATGTGAGCCACTGTAGGAGGATCGCTCTTGTATCGCTCGCCAGACGAGGAGATCTTCAGACTCTCGGTGTAGCACTGCCGAGCTGTCTTCTGGTTTGCCTTGACAGAAATAATCTTCCCATCACTCCCTGGGAATTTCATGGTGAGGTGTGGGGTGGACACCACTGCTCCGAGTTGATTCAAGGTCGGCCTCCCAATAATTATGTTGTAGGAAGTGTTGGCTTCCACGAGGAGGTATCGGACCATAATCCGCCTTGTGTCTGGAGAGGTCCCGAAAGTTGTCAGCAGGTCCACGTATTCCCGAGTGTGCACTCGCTCTCCTGCAAAATCGACTAGGGGCTCTATGTGAGGTTGGATGAGAGAGTGAGGGATGTCTAACCTGAGGAACGTCGGCCAATATAGGACGTCAGCCGAGCTCCCTTGGTCGATCAGTGTCTTGTGGACCTCCCAATTAGCTACCTCCACGGTGATGACCATAGAGTCATCCTGGTTGGGGCTGACGCCAGTGTAGTCATCGTCGGTGAAGGTGATGGGCGGTGAGCTTTGGTGCGAAGCCGAGGTAGTGGAGTGGACAGTGTTGATATTGCGCAGGTGTCTCTTCCGGTCCGAGCTGCTTGCGCCTACCCCTGCGAA